GGAAAAGAAAGGCAACCTCTACATCGCGGACTCGCGTTCGAGGTCGTATCTTTCTTAACACCATCCTAAAATGCCCTATCGCGGCCCAGGTCCGGCAGCGTGGTTGTGTGTGCAACGGTGTAGTGCTAAATCATTAAAGCATGCACAACAAATTATAAACAATCAATTCGAACCTGCAAGACAAATAACACATTAATGTCAGGATCATACCTGGAGTCCTTGCTGCCAAACAAAAATTATTTTGAACAAGATAAAAATTTTTGACTTAAGTCCACTTTAAAAAAAATGCAAGTCCCCAGCGGAGTCGCCAGTCTGTCGCGACCGAACTCCCGAGCCCTTTTTTATCGAACAACATGCAAAAAAGGGGGGCTAGCCTGGTACGTGCTAAGTCTAGGTTCGGGACTTTACTCGGGCCCTCCCAAGCCTATACCATATCGCGACTTAGGGTTTAAGTATTTAACATGCAAGTGGTTTATACCAAGGAGTCGCCACTAATCGATTTGGGATGGGTCGATTAGAAACCCAAATAGGGTGATGGGAGAATCACCCTATTCCTACGAACCAGAGATTAAATGAGTTCGGGGACTTGGTTACACTAGTTGGATAACTAATGCCCTTTCGGTACCATTTTACCCTGTTCATTTTTGAAAACATTTGTCAGGCAATTTGGATTGATTTTAGGACCTTTCTCCTAACATGTGAGGTGATCAAGCGAGTGCATAATCAGAAATGATTAGCAGTCAGGAACACAACAATGCATGCAGCCTAAGGTTCTAACCTTAACTAAGTCAGATGACATTCAAAAAACACAACAGCTCATGGAATTGTATTAAAAACATGCATAACAGTAATAAAATTAACATGCAAAATACTACCGCACAACCTCAGAATTGTCTAATTTAAACAAGACAATAGCATGCATAATAATACAACAATAAATTAAAACACTTAGATATAACATAATTTTAAAAAAACTTTTTTAAAAAAAAAAAATTTTTTTTGAATTTTTTTTTTCAAAAAAAAAAATATATATATATATATACATACATATATAAATAATAGTACAGAAGAAAAAAATAAATAAATAAATAATTTTTTTTAATTTTCTTTTTTTAAAATAAAATAAAATAAAATAAAAATATTAATATAATATTAAACCGGGTCGGGTTGCGGATCCGGGCCGGGTCGGAACCGACCCAGGTCAATGGATCCGACCCGGGCGTTGACCCGGGTCGGATCGGTCAATCCGGATCGGGTCGGAACCGACCCGGGTCAACGGATCCGACCCGGGCGTTGACCCGGGTCGGATCGGTCAATCCGGATCGGGTCGGAACTGACCCGGGTCGGAACTGTTAATCCGGGTCGGTCGGAACCGACCCGAGTCAACGGATCCGACCCGGGCGTTGACCCGGGTCGGATATGTTGATTCGGGTCGAATCCGACCCGAACAAACAGACCCGCGGGGAGGGGGGCGCCGGAGAGGCCAAAATTGGCCGTCCGCCGGCTGACCCAGGCCAGCGCCGCCCCCAAATTGCCCGACTAGGACCGCCTGTGGGCTGTGCCACTCACCTGAGCCGCCGTCGGACCACCGTTCGCCGGCCGACGATGAAACAAAAACCAGCCTGGTTGAGGCATTTCGTCGAACGCCTGGCGGGTGCGTAGAAAAACGAGGGATTCCGACCTCCTCCGGCGATCCGGTCTACTCCGGCGGCTTGGGTTCACCTCCGACGGCGACTAGGGATCGGGACCGACGACGGTATGGGCCGGGATTCACGCGAAACGGCCGACGCGAGTCCCGGCCAAACTGAGGCAAAAAACAGGGGAAAACAGGGGAGCTTCTCGGCCGAGGGGGGCTCACCGGTCGACGGCGCGTCTGGATGGCTTCCGGCAGGTCTGGCGGCGTCGACGACCGCTGCTGGTTCTTCTTTAGCTCCGGCGGACTCTCGGCTCCCTCTCTCTTCTCTGTTTCACTCTCTATTCTCTCTCGGTCTCTCTCGGTTTCTCTCTCTCTCTCTGTTTTTCTCTGAAAATCGCCGACCCACTCTCTCTCTCTCTGTGTCGCCGCCGTCGGCTTGGCGACGGGGATGGATGGCTGAGGCGCGGTGGCTGCCGGAGGCTTCCTGTCTTTCCCGGCTCACGCTCTCACGCTCCCTCTGTATTTTTCTCCAAAAATGGCCGACCGGCGCTCTCTCTCTCTCTCTCTCTCTCTCTCTCTCTCTCTCTCTCTCTCGTTTTTATAGGCGAACGACGGCGTCCCCCGGCTTCGTTACGTCTGCAATGACGACGGCCTGCACCGGCCTACCTGCCTCGCGACTTTCGCGGCCATGGCAGGCCGGTGCAGAGCAGAGCAGAAGGGGGGGCCGGTGCAGAGAGGGTGTAGAGAGACAGGGCAGAGAGGGAGAGAGAGCCTGGGAAATGGGGAAAATGGGACTGGCCTTAATGGCCAGTCCCTGTGGCGTGCTCGCCTGGGCCTCCTCTGATCGGATGACGACGATGAGGAGCGGCGCCGCCGTGCGTCACGCTTCGGTCGCGCAGGGGGAGAACAGGGGAGGAGAGAGCGGCCGCGCGGGGAAGGAAGGAAGGAAGAAGAAGTGGGTGGGCCAGGCCCCCGTCGGGGAAAAGAAGAAAAGAAAAGGAAAGCGGGGCGGGCCCGCGCGAAGGGAAAAAAGAAAAGAAAAAGGGGCCGGGCCCGGGGGAAAAAGGAAAAAAGAAATGCGCCGGGTCGGCCCAGCTCCGACCCGGCCCGACTCGAAATTTTTTTTTTTTAATTAATCTTCTCTAATAGACCCTATTAATGCAAAATGTGCCTAATTTCTATATGCAATACATTTAAATTGAAATATTTTTGTTTTAGGAATTAAAGGAAATTAACTCCTAAATTTTTTGTAAATAATTTTGGGCAAATTAAAAACAGGTGTCAACAAATCCCAAATCCAAAACCCGAAACACGTTTGTCAAACATGATCACTGCCTTAACAAAAATAGTTAATACCACAAAAAATCTCACACTGGTATACCTGTGATAATTTTACTCATAACTATATTTTTTACCACCAAAAACCTTACACTGGTACACCTGTGATAATTTTACCCCGAACTAATTTTTTTACCACCAAAAACCCGAAACCGGTACACCTGTGGCAAATTTACCCTCCATTAGTTTCCGTTAAATTTTATTATCAAATTACTAAGTTTGATGACAAGTGGTAGTTGACGGGTGTACCAGTTTAGGGTTTTACCTCTCTGTTTGTCACAAGTTTACTAATTTGTGATTTTTCGTTATATTAATCCAATTTAACGGATACTAACGGAGGGTAAATTTGTCATAAATGTACCAGTTTGGGGTTTTTAGTGATCAAAAAATTAGTTTTGAGTAAAATTGTCATAAGTGTGCCAGTGTGAGGTTTTTGGTAGTCAAAAAAATAATTCAAGGTAAAATTGCTATAGGTGTACCAGTGTGAGGTTTTTAGTGGTAAAAAAAAAGTTCGGGGTAAATTTATCACAGTGTACCAGTTTGGGGTTTTCGTAGTCAAAAAATTAGTTCGGTGTAAAATTGTTACAGGTGTACCAGTTTGGGATTTTTCGTGGTATTAACCCTAACAAAAATACCATATATGCAAGATTTCTTTTTCTTTTGAATTTCCTTGGTAAAAGAAAGGTATTAAAATTAGAAACCGGGTCGACGATACACATCCCATCCCAAACCACTTTTCCGGTTCAATTCCAGAATGAGTGAACACACTGTTACAACCTCTTTCTCTCTCTCTCTCTCTCTCTCTCTGCAACACTCTGAATCGCCACCGCCGCCGCCATGAGCTCGCCGTCGTCCCCTCTTCGCCCGCCAAATCAAGACCCCACCCCGGTCGACTCGCCCCATCACCGCCTGAAATTGCCCGAGACCCAAACCCTAGCCCTCAAGCCATACCCTTCCTCGAAGTCCGATGGAGAGCAGGTAAAGAAGGCCTTGTAAATTGAAAAGAGGAGAGAGAGAGAGGGGGGTGTTTTAGGCGGGATTTTAATTTTCAGGTCTATCCTTTTCTGCCAGACAAAGAGAAAAGAAAACTTTTTTTAATTTTTCAGTAAATCCAACTCAGATGCCACGTGTCTCTCATTGAGTGGAGCCAACTAAGCTCACCGCGCCACGTAGGCGGATGACATGATGGTTACTAACCACCGAATATTTTCTCCAAAGGGAGAGAGAGTGATAGGGTTTTTAGATCTTGGAATTGCAGTTATTCTTAATCGCCGAGGATCCAAAAACCTTCCTTGGTATGACCCGACGCCATTATCTCTGCCGACTATAAGTTGGACAGCTTATTATTTTTCTATTATCTTTAAGGCAATACACTTACCCAACGTGGTACAGAATCCACTCTTGGATTCGTCAGTATTCATGTGATAGGCTATCTCGTATCATTTATTAGCAAGAATTTTTCTTTTCTTTTTCCTCTTATTTTTTATTTATATATTTTTTGGTTGAATTGTGGATTGATCCTTGATGGTGGGTGACAAACAAAATAAAATTGCAGACGTATATCACCAAGTTGTTAAAAGATTGTCTAGCTCGATCAGCCTGATTCTCGTTTCCTTGCAGTAGTAAAAGTCGACGCAACGTGAAGATTTTCACTCATCTTTCTAAATACAATTTCTATGAAATTATTTCTTGTAACACTGAATAAAGCACGTATCAAGAAGTAGCAAGACAGACATTCACCAAGTTACCTAGAGAAAACATTAATCCTACCCATTTGGCCATTGTCTTTACATGAGCGCGACATTTGCTTAGAAAAACCTCTCTCGACTCATTGAAATTGTAACTTAAGTCTATCACTTGTACTTTTTTACATTGCGCTTTTGCAATGTATGTCACGTTACATTCAATTTATGCATAGTAAGAAAGAAGTATGTGCAATTTATGCCTGTAAAACCCTTTCTCTACTCAACTCAACTCACCAAAACCCCAAACCTAATCCATTCTCATTAGCCATTCCCCCATAACAATGGACTCAGTTGATAATGGAGGGACGAGGGAGAGCGAGATCGTGCAAGGCCATGTTCACCTATGGACCCATGCTTTCAACTCCATCTACTCCATGTCCCTCAAATGCGCCATCGAACTTGGCATCCCTGACGCCCTCCATCACCACGGCCATCCCATGACCCTTCCCGTGCTCGCCGCCGTGCTGTCAGTCCCTGCCTCCACGGCCGCCTTCCTGACCCGACTCATGGCGGTCCTTGCCCAAACCGGCTTCGTCTGTCAACGAAAGTCTGCTGCTAAAAATGACCAGGAGCAGCTGGGGTTGACATACTCTCTCACTCCCATTTCACGAGCGCTCCGGAAAGGCGAGCCTGGTGACTTGTCGCCCATGGTGTCGTTCCTCCTCGACCCCATCATACAAGGCCCATTGCACTGCCTGGGTGAGTGGGTCAAGAGCGAGAGCCTGAGCCCCCGCACGCCCTTCGTCATGAAGCACGGGATGAGCCTGTGGGACTACACGGCCCAGGACGAGGGGCTAAACCGGAGTGTGAACGAAGCCATGGCGAGTGATGGGCCAGTGATCATGAGGCTGATGGTGGAGAAGCGTGGACGGCAGCTGTTTCAAGGGCTGAGGACGGCGGTTGACATCGGAGGGGGGACCGGAGGGTTGGCGAGGGAGGCGGCAGAGGCGTTCCTGCAAGTGGAGTGGATGGTGCTCGATCTGCCGCACGTGGAGGCTGGCTTGGAGGGGACGAGGAACTTTGAAGCTTGTGAAAAGTCCCAAACCCGAAACCCTTTTGTCAAAACATGATCACTGTCCTAATAAAAAAGGGTTAATATCACAAAAAATCTTAAATCGGTACATATGTAACAATTTTACTTCGAATTATTTTTTTGATTATCAAAAACCCTACATTAGTACACTTGTGACAATTTTACTTCGAATTAATTTTTTGACTACCAAAAACCCCAAACTGGTACACCTGTGAAAAATTTACCTTCCGTTAGTTTCCGTTAAATTTTACTGTCAAATTCCTAAGTTTGATGACATGTGATAGTTGACGGGTGTACCAGATTGGGGTTTTACCCCTCTGTTTATCACAAGTTTACCAATTTGTGATTTTTTGTGATATTAATCCAATTTAACGGATACTAACGGCGGGTAAATTTATCATAAATGTACCGGTTTGAGGTTTTTAGTCAAAAAAAAATTAGTTTGGAGTAAAATTATCACAAGTGTACCAGTGTGGGGTTTTTTGTGGTAAAAAAATAGTTCGGGGTAAAATTATCACAAGTGTACCGGTGTTGGATTTTTTATAGTAAAAAAAATAGTCCGGGGTAAATTTGTTACAAGTATAGCAGTTTGAGGTTTCGTGATCAAAAAATTAGCTCGGGATAAAATTATCACAAGTATATCAGTTTGAGATTTTTAGTGGTATTAATCCTAACAAAAATACCATATCTGCAAGATTGATTTGTCTTTTGAATTTCCTTGGTAAAAGAAGGCATTAAAATTAGAAACCGGTCGATGATACACATCCCATCCCAGGCCGCTTTTCCGGTTCAGTTCCAGAACGAGTGAACACACTGTTACAGCCCGTCTCTCTTTCTGTCTCTGTCTCTGTCTCTCTCTCTCTCTCTCTCTCTGTCTGCGCGACGCTCTGAATCGCCGCCGCCGCCGCCGCCGCCGCCGCCATGAGCTCGCCATCGTCCCCTCTTCGCCCGCCAGATCAAGACCCCACCCCGGTCGACCCGCCCCATCACCGCCCGGAATCGCCCGAGACCCAAACCCTAGCCCTCGAGCCGGACCCTTCCTCGAAGTCCGACGGAGACTCGCAGATCCTCGTCCAGGACGACGACTCCAACCAGGACGACCCCGACACGGCCCCCGCGCCGTCCCCGCGCGCCCAAGACCCGACCTTTATGGCCCCCGCCCCCGCCTCCTTCCGCCGCGGCCCGAAGAACAAGAAGGCCGCGCAGAAGCGGCGCGCCATGGAGCGGAAGTCGAAGCAGAAGCTCGAATTGCTCGTCAAGACCTTCAAGCCCGTCCCTTTCGCCCCCGTCGAGGCCCTCGACTTCTCGCGGCGCGAGGATCTCCTGCACCGCCTCGGGCTCTGGGAGTTCGTCCACCTGGACTTCGACAGGGCCCTGCACGGCAAGCTGATCGCGCAGCTGGTCGCCAGTTTCAGCAAGAGCGAGCGGTGCAGCTACGTCAATGGGGTCAAGATTCGGGTCAGCCGGGCCGACCTGGCGCGCGCGCTGAAGCTGCCGGCTAAGAGGGTCGTGGCCGGCTCGGAGGGCGCAGGTGAGGGTTCCGAAACTGAAGAGTCTGTTGGGTTCGTTTTGGATTTAGTGTCGAATTGGATGCTTTTGCATGATGACGATACGTGGATGATGCCTGATGAAATTTTGAGTTGGGACAAGTTGATTAGGGAAGGGAGTTTCGAAAAGGTGGATTGGGCGGGGATGGTGTGGTTTATGGTGGAGAAGGAGTTGATGCAGGCGCCCAATTTGGAGAATTGTTACTATGCGTCGCACTTGCAGTGTTTGATTAGGTCTCAGCGCGCAGAGTTGTTGTCGGCAGAGGAGGTTGAAGTGAAGGATGTAGAGGAGGTCGAGGTGAAGGATGTAGAGGAGGTCGAAGTGAAAGATGTAGAGGAGGTTGAAGTGAAGGATTTGGAGGAGGATGGGGGTGGTGGTGATGTGAAGATGGCTGAACTGGAAGAGCAGAGCTTGGAGTTGAGCCTTGGACAAGAGAATGCTGATAACAAAGCTGATGAGGAGGTGGAGAAGGAAGGTACTAGCGTTGAATTGGGTCTTTCACAGAATGAAAGGTTTGATGTTGAGAATGAGGAGAATGCTCAATTGAGTCTCGGGCTTGAGGAGAATGTTGAAGCTGAGGTGGAGGACAAAACCGAAGTTGGTCTGGTGGAGGAGAAGGGCGTCGAAAAGGAAAATGACAATAATGAGGAAGGTGGATTCGATGATGTCATGGATTCTCAGGAGTGTAAAGAGGAGGAGGAAGAACAAGGTGGGCAGTGGCTTTTGGATGGGAAAAATATTTCAGGCGAGCACTTTTTGCAGAGGTGCAGAGTTACTGAAGCTAATGAAATGAGGTTTGATGTGGATCAGAAAGGAGTGGAAGGAGAAGGAGTAGTAGGCGAGGAACCAGAAGACGAAGAACTAGAGGAAGAGGAAGAGGAAGAAGAAACCAATGAGGAGGAGCAACAAGAGCCTGGAGGGTTCAATATGTCGCCAAAGTTTGGTGATTTGGAGAGGTTGCCTTCATCAAATCTTCTGCATGTTTTGGAGTCCGCTCAAATTGCTTTTAACACCGGGATGCAACTCCGTGATGATTCGTGTGGGGAGTTCTTAGCTTCAAGAGCTGACAGTCACATGGGTCCAAGTTCTTCGTCCATCTTTGGCAATGTAAACAAGAGAGAGATCGATACTGACAATGACAGAATGCATCACCAGCTGAATGGGGGAAACAAGCGGATGAGGACTGATGGTTCGTGGGATAGTAAATCACTGGACTTCAATATGTGCATGGAGCAAGTGCAACATTGGGTGGAAAAGGCAAAGATGGCGCACGAGGCAAAAGAGCAAGCGTATGCCGAGTCTGGCATGAATCAACAAATATTCCTCAGCGAGCTGCAACGACGGGATGCTATGATCGAGCATTTGCAGAAGACAAGTAATGAAGAGATAATGAAAAAGAAGATGGAAATATATCGACTTGAATGTGAGCTCTATATGATGGTGAACCTTCTAGATGGCTATAAGAAGGCCTTGAAGGAAACCGATCGGAAATTTGCTGAATACAGGGCTCGCTGTCCTCAGCTTGACGAGCCACTTTATAAAGATGTTCCTGGATCTGGCGGTCTTGTTTTGAGCATTAGGGAACTGGAAAAGCAGCGGTTAAAACAGGAAGAAGAGGAGAAAATGAAGCTTTTGGCCATGAAGGAAAAGATTGAGGAATTCGAAAGCGTGTTTACCATCAGCTTCGAAGAACGTCTTGAAGGAATCAATCTGCTCAATAACAGGTTGCACGATGTTGAGAAGGGATTGAAACATCTGAAGGATTCGGCAGAAAAGCGTAAAGCCTCAGAAGCAACGATCGCTATTGCTTCAACGGAAGAAAATGTCCCGGAAGCAACGGCAGCAGCTGCTGCTCCTACAGAAGAAAATGTCCCGGAAGCAACGGCAGCAGCTGCTGCTCCTACAGAAGAAAATGTCCCGGAAGCCACGGCAGCAGCTGCTGCTCCTACAGAAGAAAATGTCCAGGAAGCAATGGCAGCGGCTGCTGTTCCTATGGAAGAAAAACTCTCGGAGGCAGACACAGCTGGTGGTCCAATGGAGGAATGAACTTCTCAGAAGTTCTTTGCTTTGCATGTTTTGATAATATATAGGTAACTTCTATGGCGACTCGTATTATCGGCCTCTTAACAAAGAACAGGTTCTTGATTTGGGTCGACATTACCTAAATGGTGACTCAATGAAGCACCTTGTGTTATTTTAGCTGGCCTATTATGTAATGTAAGGGCTTTGGCTGACTGGAAGATAGGAGTTCGTATTGCGGTTCTACTACATCTATCGTTGCTTGCTTAGTCTTCATAGAGATCCTCTGAACTGCTTGAAATTGATTTTTGGGTAACAGCGAACCATAGCGAGTACCGTGCCGCGATGGTACCTGGAAAACGGAAAAACAACATTATGCAGATGATCTTTAAGTACATTAGGTTAAACCTACTAGCTCCAACAGAGCTCAACAATGGATTTATCATTGCATGTTCTTGTTTGGAAACCGCCGCTTTATACTTGAGATACGATGACTAGTGATAGACTGTATACCTTGTCTATAATGCTTAGGCATTTCCAAACTCAGTATTTGCTCGCTGTATAAGACTCGAGCAATGACCTGGTGTGTCACTGCACATATGGTTGAAGACATGGTTTGTCATTGTCCAAAGGGGGCTAGCATTAGAACTTTAATGCAGAGGGTCCGCTGCTTCTTGTGCAGCCAGTTTTTGAGCTTCTGTCATTGCTTCACAATGAATTCCCACATGCAGGATCACAAATTCGTTTGGCTGCAATAAAATGCCAAATGAAATGTAGAAAGATTATGTTCTTTCCCTTGGCTAAAGAGTAGGCAGCAGGTCTCAAGATAGCTGTGATGTAATTTGACATTTTTGACTGATGAATGATGTGACACGTACGCCATGAATGAATCTAACCAAAAGATGGGAAGTGGGGGTTGGTGAAATTGCTATTTTGCTTAACTGGGGTCCAGACATTTTGGGGTTTCCCTTGGACTTGTGATGAGCAAATTATTCCTAAGTTTAGAAGGACAACATAATATCTTGTACATTACTTAGACGTTACAAAATTTACTTAGGTTTAGTGAATATCCATGCGAAAAATCCGCAAAGCGCCGAAGAGGAAAAAAATTTGAAAATTATATTTCAGATTTCTTTTCCGTCGGTAATTGACCCTTTGTGTCTATAAAGGTTTTTCCACGTGAGCATCCTTATTTTCTGGACGGAACGATTGGAATATATCTCGTTTTACTCTCTTTTGTTTTTTGTCTAATTTTTATCTAACCATACTTTGGCAAAATGTCATCCTTGATTCTCGTTTTTTATTGGCTCGAGAATAGAATTGCCGGTCGTCACGTGCTCTTTCGAGAAAGTAATTTCTGTGCAGGCTTTGTAGGCGCTCGCGGACGGGTTTAATCAACGGCTCTCTCAACTCTTTGCAATGCTATTCTAATCAACCGCTTTTGTACTCGGGATGGGTTTAATCGAACAGTACTTTTGCATCAATCTTCTGCTCTTACATGGAAGTTCTAGTATCTGCTAAATTTGACTTTACATGCTAACAAAATGAAACCGATTCAGATGTTGCGACAACCAGATGAATACCGCTAATAGCTAAGAATACGCTGTCTTCTTAGTTGGTTTTTTCGATGTGCGACTGAAACAGTCGGCATACACCTATAGCTCGTCGAGGCCATCTCCGGATCCTCTCATCTGATGCCTAGGCGCAGATTAAACTTTCGGTAGCTCCGTGTAGGAATGTAGTTGTATCATGCTTCATGCATGGGCTGCATTTTTGGTAGAGATCTGCAGGTGATGCGTTCCTGCTCGCATGATGAACTTGCTTTCCTCGCGTTCGATGTCGCCGAGAGACGTGCAGATAACAAAAGTTGCACATACAACACATTTGAAGCATGAACTGATAAGGAACTTTCCTTTACTAACTCGTTGCTGTGGCTTAAAAAGGTCGGTTCACAATGCATCCAATCTGTATAAATCGAGAGGCGATTCAAGCGCAAAAGCTCCAATTCTATATCGTTCTTTATTGGCCGATAATGGAGTCTCATTTGATTTCGAGGAACCTCGGTCCGACCCTTATCATTGTATGGATTCTATGCGCGCGTTCCAGCGCGTTTCCGGGCGATCACTTGTCTCTGAAGTCCGACCAGAGAAGCATAATGGAAGACAGATACGAGAGCTGGCTGGCGAGATACAACCGGACATACAAAAGTAGATTTGAGCAAATGCTGCGGTTCCAGATTTATCAAGCCAATGTCTTGTACGTCGACTTCATCAACGGGCTACGGTTACCGTTCGAGCTCACCGACAACAGATTCGCGGACATGACAAACGTGGAGTTCAAAGCGACCTACCTGCGTTTTCACAGGAGGATGAACCAGAGGACTGACATGGAGGCTAACGCTACCGGCGGCACCAGCATAGATGCGCCGACGAGTTTTGATTGGAGGAAGGAAGGCGCCGTAACTCCGGTCAAGGATCAAGGCCAATGTGGTATGCAAGATTTAGCTCTTCTTTTTTGTTTCCCTCATTTCATCCTTCTTTTTAAGTCGCATGTTCTGCTCCGCACGAGTAGGAAGCTGTTGGGCTTTTTCGGCCGTGGCGGCCGTTGAAGGCCTCAACAAGATCAAGACGGGGAAGCTCGTGTCTCTATCGGAGCAGGAGCTCATGGACTGCGACGTCGGGAAGCAGAACCAAGGCTGCAGTGGCGGAGCCATGGACACCGCCTTTTCCTTCATCGAAAGCAACGGGGGCATCACTTCGGAGTCCAATTATCCTTACCGAGGACAGGAAGGATCTTGCGACAAGGCCATTCTCAGGAACCACGCGGCCACAATAAGCGGATACAGTAACGTGCCCGCGGACAACGAGGCCAGCCTCGAAGCCGCGGTGGCCCGCCAGCCGATCTCTGTCGCCATCGACGCTGGCGGGCTGGACTTCCAGCTGTACTCTAGGGGGATTTTCATGGGCGCTTGCGGACACGACCTGAACCACGGGGTCGCCACGGTCGGGTACGGGGCGGAGGGCCAGAGGAAGTACTGGATCGTGAAGAACTCGTGGGGGCGCGACTGGGGCGAGGACGGCTACGTGAGGATGCTGAAGGATTCGCCAGATCGGCGAGGCGTGTGCGGGATCGCGATGGACGCGAGTTATCCCGTGAAGGGTTGAGAGTACAAAGGTGGGATCGGCGTTGGAGCTTTTACCTTCTTCTGCATAGACTCATATTCATGCGGTATTATGATTATGTCGAACTGAAATGATCGTACTGAAGAGCAGAATACGTGGCTGTCCTATTCATTGAGGCATACTTAACCGACCGACACCACTGTAATTAGCCGGCTATTTAAAGAGAAGGTTATTACAAAACGAATTCCTGTCGTGACTGTTCACTTAAAATCTCGGTTCCTCTCGGTTGGAATCGGTTGGAATCGACGGGTATCTCGTGTGAAATGAGTTTTCGCCTGTCGAATCGATTTCAAAACGCATCTTTCAAATAAACATTTTTATTTCCTCCATACACTAAAAGCACAAAACGAATCGAGTCGTAAGAATCTAATCTTACAGCAATGGCAAAGCACATGTTGTAGGCTATAGGTTTATTCATTACAAATCTAAGCGATGAACTAATTGGAAAAAGGAATCAGTTCGATAATATTTGTTCCGTTTGTTTCCGCGAAAAATAAATAATAATAAAAAAATTATTTTTTCTAAAACTAATCCTTCAAAAAAAATAATAATAATGAGCGGAGGTAAAAACGACGTCGCATCTTAAAGCCCTGCATAAACCCTTGGCTTTCTGATTAACATCAGATCGAGAGGTGGTGGCGTTCGTGGAAATCCAGCCATTTTTCTTACGACTCCGCCGTAAGAAATGGCCGGCCCCTTGCTCCGATCACTCTTCTCCGCCGCTAAGAGATCCGTCTCCTCCTCCTCCGCTTCCTCTCAGCGCCTCAACCACTACCTCTCCCCGCGCGCTACCCCCTTCCCCCGCGCCTTCTCCACCGCCGCCGCCGCCGCCGCCGCATCCGCATCCGCCGCCGCGGCGTCGGGCCCTTCGGTCGACCCGAGCCGGCTCCGGAACGTGGCGGTGATCGCCCACGTCGACCACGGCAAGACCACGCTCATGGACCGGCTGCTCCGCCAGTGCGGCGCCGACATCCCCCACGAGCGCGCCATGGACTCCATCAGCCTCGAGCGCGAGCGCGGCATCACCATCTCGTCGAAGGTCAGTTCGTGTGCCCTGGTTCTGGTGAAATTTGGCGCCTCGAAGTGTTCCCTGAGCTTCGCTAATTAGGTGGCTGTGAAGTGATTGATTGAATTGTTATGCGGCCTAATTGCGTGGTGGAGTGTTGGCGTGACCGCAGTTTGGTGTTTTGGATAAAGCAAAGGTGAAATGATATTCTGTAGGTGGAGGAAGTGGATGAGCGTGGTTTTGGTTTAATTGCGATTGTTGTGCACCCTGATTAGTGGGGTGGAGTTGATGCATTGCTGTGCAAGTTCTAAGCACCTGTTACTTTATTTTTGATTCGTTAACCTTTGCTAATCGGGTAATAAAGCTTTGTATTCTCCTGCTGAGGCCATGCTACTTATGTTTTAGATTACGTGTAAAATTAACGTTTTCAACATGTGGGTATCCGCAGGTAACGTCAATCGTATGGAAAGACAATGAGCTAAATATGGTTGACACACCCGGACATGCAGACTTTGGTGGTGAGGTACGATAATTGATACATCTGCTGGGCAGAAGTTGTTCTTGCTAGTATATATAGGTCTGTGCTAGATACATACTTATATTCCTATATTCTTGGGTCTGGTGGCTTACTTGACTAAGATAGGCCTCCTCTCATCATAAAAGAAAAATCTATTTGAATTTGTGAGTTCCTTGTTGGATTGTTCATTTAAAACATGATAACGATATTAACGAATGGAAAGGAATCGAAGTTCTGAGCAAAGGATGAAGATGGAAATGACTGCAGTGAATGCAGGCTTTGGGGAATGAGGATTTCTCTAACGGCATAACCCCCATTCTGTTGCATAAAAGGTGTCACTTATCACCCGTTACATTTATATGGGAATTCACGCTCTAGTTTATTAATTTTTCATTGAAGAATAGTGGATAGACAGAATGGTAAGAGATGGTTTCCACCTAATCTCAAAAACAAGTGTTATACAATCTATTACATCAAATGGGTCATTAGCTTTTTTATTTGTTGGCCTTGGTTTCTGGTGCACTGTGTTATTAATGTGCTTATTTGAATATCCTTGCTTGATTATAGGTTGAGCGAGTAGTCGGTATGGTTGAGGGAGCAGTTTTATTGGTGGATGCTGGTGAAGGTCCGCTTGCACAGACAAAGTTTGTTCTGGCAAAAGCATTGAAGTATGGTCTACGGCCTATCCTCCTCTTAAATAAAGTAGACAGGCCTTCTGGTATGGTTCTTCGTTATTTTAAATGATTTCACTTGTGCATTAGCTTAGTGAAACTCACATATTGTCATTTAATGATAGCAAATACTTTAGTGGCGAAGGCATATTTTTGGCTACTTACCATTCATTTTGGTTTACTTCTATTTCTGGCAAAGAGAGTCCATAATTTAGGAGGCTTTTGGTTAGAAAGCGTCTTACTTCTTTTTCTCCACTCTAACCATCAGCCAAGAGGAATTCCATCAATTAAGGGCATGTTTGTTTACACTTAATCAAAAGCAAAAAGGCAAACTTTATAATATTATTTAAGTGTCAAACTCTCGTTATTGATCTACGTGTCGACAATTATATTAAGTGAAAGTTTTGGGTGTTTTGGATCAAGCAAAAGTTCGTGAGCTACAAGATTTTGATTAAGCAAAAAGTAAAATGTAAAAGTAAAAGTAAATTCATACACGCCCTAAATTCTTATCTTTACGAATACGAATGCCTTCTCCAATTTCTATTCAAATTTAAAGTCAGGCATGAATTCCTTCTCGAACTTTTCATTCAAATGTATTCAAGTATCATATCCCCAGCAATGAGAAGGTTGATATCCGCATCTTTCATGTCCATGTACTAGTGTAAAGGTAGTTGGCAGCTATGGTAGCTCATTTGCATCGGGTGTGCCTATTGCGAAAGGTTTTCCTTTTCTTTATAGATTGTCCATCTTCTGGTCTGTCATTGCAAGCGTATAAGAGTGGCCTTTCAGTTTCATGTATATTTCCTGTCTTTGGTTGGGGGTTGAGTTACTCTTGATAATTTCTGCAGTTTCTGAGGAGAGATGTAATGAAGTAGAGAGCCTTGTATTTGATCTTTTTGCAAGTCTTGGCGCGACAGGTGGGTAGACATATGTTTTGAAGTTTATTTTCCAGTCTGTGTTTTTGTCTAAAGGGAAATCTTGTTCCGTTCATCTTTTATCTAGACGAACAGTTGGACTTTCCTGTCCTCTATGCTTCTGCGAAAGAAGGGTGGGCTTCCCCTACCTTCACAAAAGATCCTCCGGCTGTTGCCAGGGATATGTCACAGTTGCTGGATGCTATCGTGGGGCATGTTCCTCCACCAAATGCTAGTCTTGATGAGCCCTTTCAGATGATGGTTTGTATAGAATGGTTTATGGGTTGGCCTTTCTCATTAATTTCATTGTGCTTTTCTTCCATTTCTCATCCTCAATACTGGATGAGGAAGCAACATGTCATTTAAGTCGTTGTGGACACAATTTTGAAATTTCTTATCACTTTACAAATTGCTATTTTTCTCATTGACTTACGCTTTTAATCAGGTTTCCATGATGGAACGGGATTTTTACCTCGGGAGAATATTGACTGGTCGTGTATCTTCTGGAATAGTTCGTGCGGGTGATAAAGTACATGGAATTCGTAACACAGAGTCTGGGGTTCAGAAAATTGAAGAGGGAAAGGTTCGTTTACTATTCCCTGAAAGAACCTTTCAAACCTATGGTTTACAGGATTGTGTGCGGGATAGGCATGTTTTTGCCGTTGATTTTCAAAATCCTGTGACAAGCAGTACCAAGGATAATTTTTTTGCTGCCTAGCCAACAAAGGGATATTTCTACATTTCCTCTTTACTTTAGGTGGTATCTAGTTTCAGCATGGAATTTAGTTTACGATGGCTTGTGGTACCTCTTACCAGCTCATATGGAAGATGAAAGTATCCCCATTCCGATCGAAATTAGGTTGCACCCTTTATTCATGCTTTATAGTGTTGTTTTGATATCTTGATTTCACTCGCCACCAAAGGAATGAGCCAGAAGCTCCCATCTATAGCACCTAAGTTTGCTCTTCTTTATTTTCATACTTTTTAATGATTGTCTTTGAATATGTACTTTGCTCAATATCTTTACTTTGGTAGTGGACTCACCAACATACATCAATTTTGGCATTGAATATTGTGAGAATGTAGGTTCTAAAGCTCATGAAGAAGAAGGGTACAAGTATGGCTCTCATTGATACCGCCGGAGCAGGTGATATTATATCGATGGCTGGGCTAGCAAGCCCATCCATAGGCCATACAGTTGCTAACATGGAGGTCTGTGAGCCTATAATTGTCAATTTTCATTTATGTTGAGGATGTATTCTTTATCTTAGACAGCTTGGCCTTTTAGATTCTACATTTACAGGTTATCATTGTGATTGCCATGCACTTTGACAACATATATTCACCTTGAGTTATTTTATTTCTGTAGTTAGTGTTAAAGCTTGCATTGGTTGTGGTCAATCGAGATTTCTCTTAAGTTAGCAGAGATGACACCATCATTCTCTTAGTTGAGAAATTCTCAGTCGTAGCATTGTAATTGATAATATGTCACCTCTTACTATATGTAGATGCCTATTATTCTGGTTTCTCTATCCAAAACCTTTGTCTAGTTTCTGTTTTTCATAGAATTCAGTAGAAGCCATGGCGTATATTGAGCCTCATGTGTGCATCAGAAAAATTGTCTAGGATAAGACTTGATGGAGTGAAAGTGAGGAATAAAGCATGGAAGTCAATATATAAACATAAATTACAAGTCTAACTCTTGCTTCTCCTATTCTTGGGGAATTCACAATATCGTTACATGAGTGGGTTTGTGACCTATATCCAGCTACTATGCACTCATTTATCATACTCAATCTTCTGAATACATTAAAGGCGCTAATAAGGTTCTTGGATGATTCCAACAGACGATGTGGAAATTTTGTTGTTTAAAAAAATAGCGAGGAGACCATACATGATGAATGTGTTTAATACGTTGAGATTGAGAATGATGTCTAGATTTGTGTAATGAACAGCAATCAAGAAGGCATGGAACTTCTATAAATATTAAAGAGGGGAAAT